AGAGCGGGGGATTGTACACGCCTTATACACCCTCTTTCAAAATACACATCATTTCGGGAGTAGTTCATACTGTTTTAAAAACGTTTGACAGAAAAAAAAGTTTATTACTCAAAAGTAACCCTTGAAAAAATGAGTGAAAACGACTGCATATAAGAATATATGAACAATTATTAAAAATATCAGTAATTGTAGTTATCCACGTTAATTTGAATTTCAAACCGATAATGAAACTTGAATCTATTGCTTAAAACCCTCAAAACAAATTTACAATAAGATGTACTTACAAAAAAAACAAAGGTCTAAGAAGAGCAGAGAATTGCAAGAGCACAAGGATAGATTTATAGGCAATTTTCTTAAATATTAGTGGTCTTATTGTTAAAATTCGTATTTGGGGATGCAGTTTAATTTCTGGAAAAATCTAGAAAGCAATTTTTTTGGAAAAAAATCTAAAGGTTAATATCAGAAATCAGGAATCCACAACATAAGATTTTTTCCATGACAGCGTCCAAACCCGAAAGCCCTGAAGAGTAAAGGAGTCTTGGGGATAAACAAAAGTTAATGTTCATTCACGTTAACAATATTCGCCAGATCTTTCGCCTTTTGACTTGTTCCATTTGCCAAACTTGAGAAAACGCCTTTCAGAAGGAAGAAACAAGTCCAGGAAATCAAAGAATCTGCAATAATCCAGTATACAAAGGTTCATACCAGAAAATGAGTTCGAAAAACAATTGAAAATGAATCAGAAATTGGATAAAAATGTTACTTACATGTGTTTTAATGAAAAGATAATTTTATTTTAAATCATTATAACTAAACTATTGAAAAGCGACTTTTGTTTCTCTCCGAGCACCGAAGACATTATTAAACGACCCTTGTATAAGGTGACCTACCGATGTACAATATCAGGTGTCCTCTGGTCCCCCTACTGATGTAAAATATGAGGTGACCTCTAGTCCCCCTACTGATGCACAATATACGGTGACCTTTGGTCCCCCTACTGATGTACAATATAAAGTGGCCTCTGATCCCCTTACTGATGTACAATACAAGGTGACATCTGGTCCCCCTTCTGATGTACAATATGAGGTGACCACAGGAGTTTTATGAAGAGACTTACTTTTACAATCGACTACTGACTTTTAAAATTTAAACAATGACTTACTCCATTACTTAAAATGTAAAAGTCAGCTGTCTAATGTAAAAATAAGTCTCTTCATAAAACTCCATTAGTCCTCCTACTGATGTATAATATAAGGTGACCTCTGGTCCCCTTACTGGTCCCCTACTGATGTACAATATGAGGTGACCTCTGGTCCCACTACTGGTGTACAATATAATGTGGCCTCTGGCCCTACTGATTCACAATATCAGGTGACCCCTGATCCCCCTGCTGATGAACAATATAAAGTGTCCTTTGATCTCCTTACTGATGTTCAATTAAAGGTAACCTCTGGTCCCCCTACTGATATACAATAAAATATGGCCTCAGGTACCCCTACTGATGTACAATATAAGATGTCCTCTGGTTCCCTTATTGGTGTACAATATAAGGTGACCTCTGGCCCCTCTACTGTTGTACAGTACAATATAAGTTGACCACTAGCCCCCGTATTAATGTAAAATATTGGGTGACCTCTGGTCCCCGTAATGATGTACAAAATAAGGTGTCCTCTGGTCCCCCTTACTGATGTACAATGAAAGGTGACCCCTTTTCCCCCACTGATGTACAATATAAGGTGTCCTCTGGTCCCCCTACTGATATACAAGAGAGGACCTCAGGTCCTTCTGCTGATGTACAATATAAGATGACCTCTGGTCCTACTACTAATGTAAAATATAAGGTGTCCTCTGGTCCCGCTAATGATGTACAGTACAATATGTACAATATTAGGTGACCACTAGTCCCCGTACTATATAAAGTGACCTCTGGTCCTTCTACTGATGTACAATATACGATGACTTCTGGTTTTACTACTGATGTACAATATAAGGTGACCTCTGGTCTCTCTACTGATGTACAGTACAATATTAGGTGACCAATAGTCCCCGTACTAATGTAAACTATCGGGTGACCTCTGTACAATTTAAGGTGTCCACTGGTCCCCCTACTTATGTATACATGTAGTATAAGGTGTCCTCTCCCCCCCCCCCACTGATGAACAATATAAGGTGCCCTCTGGTCTCCCTACTGATGTACAATATAAGGTGTCCTCTGGTCCCTCTACTTATGTACAGTACAATATTAGGTTACCTGTAGTCCCCCTACTGATGTACATTATAGGGTGACCTCTGGTCCCCCAAATGATGTACGATATAAGGTATCCCCAGGTCCCCCTATTATGTGCAATAAAAGATTATCTTTGGACCCCTATTGATTTAAAATGTAAGGTGACCTATGATCCCTCTGATGATGTACAATATAAGGTGACAACTGGTCTCCCTAATGATGTTAAATATAAGGTGGCCTCTGGTCCCCCTACTGATGTACAATGTAAGGTGATCTTTGGTCCCCCTATTGATGTAAAATATTAGGTTACCTCTGGTCACCCTTTATTATTTTCTCGTTTCTGCTAATATATATACAATGTATTAGAAAGTTGATTATAAATATGATTATTTTGGAGTAAGACAAAGAAAATTGTCTATCATATAAAATTCAATTAATATATAAGGTGACCTGAGGTCTCCGTATTGATGATATCGATGAATTTACTTTTGTGCCTTTAATGCTTAGAGAGTTCCTAGAATGTTTTATTACTACGCAAAATGACGAACTATTTGCGGGGGACCCCAGGTCCTAGTTCAGCGTACGTTTTATCCTTCTGCCATTCAGTTTACACATTTGAGTTTTTTTATGATTTGTTTCTACAGAAATGCCAGAGGGCAAGAAAAAGGAATTCGTCTTTCAAGTTCAAGTTCTTATGCAGAAACGTAAGTAAATGCAATGCTTTCTCGTTTACATCTTGAATAATAGAAAAACGGGACTGGATCATATCTTTTTATCTATGAATGACATTTTTTTTTTTTCATTTTTAGAGGAAAGATAAAGAAGGCAAGAAAAGATCTCCTGGTTTCCTCTCCCGATTTTTTTCGTTAAACTTCTCCAATTTTGAACCTTGCATCCTTTAAACCTCGCACCTTGAAGTTCTTTCACCATCTTTGAGTGCTCCAAAGAAACTTTTAACAAATAGTATCATATTTTATACTTTTTGAGGAATTTCCCTGCCGGATCATCTATTAATTTAAATGAAGCTTCATCTATTCATTTAATCATAAATAAACTATTTTATATGAATTTTATTGTCTTCAGTTTTATCCATACAAGGAAATTCAGAAAAGAAGAAGAATTAACTGTTACGCTTTGGGGAACCCATCTCTTATCCGCATACATGTACCACTGAATGAAATTTGATGAGACTTTCAGAGAATCTTCATTACATAATGCCATTGTGCTTCTTCAATTTCACTTTTTGATCCAACACAGATTTTGGGTTTCCCAGAGCAAAATATGGGCACTACCATTGTATTCATATGGGATGATGGGGGGGGGGGGATATCATTTAGTGAGCTCATTGCTACAGTACCTCTAGTTTGTACATGTATTGTTTAATTTCAATTTTAATAACGTATAGCTTTTCCATTTTTATTTTTTAACTTTTCATTTGTATAATTTTCAAGTTACATGTATATTAATTTTTTTATTCTATTATTTTCCATTTGCTTTGTAAAAATTATTATTTGTAATGTATTACTTTTATTTATTCTAGACTAGAGTTCCATTTTAATTCTATATTTTATTTTTTTTGTATTCGCTATTTTCAATTTTTTATAACTTTTTTTATTTGTAATTTACCATTTTTATTTATATTCTATAATTTCCGATTTGTACTCTATTAGTCAATCATTCAAATGAAAAATTATACAATACAAATTTTAATTCATATCTTTATTTTTATAAGCAGGTCACGGGTAAAGTTCAATGTCACGATATCAGTGGCCATGATAGATAAGTCATGCTGTATAAATTTTGAATTTAGCGGGTGGTAGTATGACATGTAAATTTTGTATAAACTGCCACCCGGTAAATTCAAATTTTACAACCTGACAGATAAGCAAAATATCAGTGTTTAATAGTATAAGATGTTAGTCCTGCATCTATCTCATCTTACAAAGACAGACGGACCCTTAAGAGGGCTGGATTGTTGCTGTGGCCATTTTTAGACTATATTGATCTCCTGTAGAAGAAGAGCTCCATATATAGATAAATTTTAAAACTAAAATGTATGAAATTCTTCATGGTTAATTTGTGAACCCCAAGCCTCCTTAACAAATGGTTTGAAGATTCTGCTATGTATTTATCACAGAAATGTTTTAATAATATATTTCAATTAGTCAAATTACCAATAAAAACTCATTGAAATGTTTTGAATATCTTGTTTATTTATTTTTAATCAAAGCTAAATTTTATATCAACACAAAACTAAGTGGAAAAGTAAGATTTTATTGTGACGTCAGGCACACAGTGCCTACAAATATTGTCATAGACAATTTAAAAAAGAAAATCAATAAATTTAAAAAAATTGGCTGTCATGAAAAAAAAAAATAATCCAATATGTCATAAACTAAAAAAAAAATAAAAATTTTGCCTTAGACAACTTTAGGCCTTCCAAAAAAAAAGGAATAATAAAATTTAATATATAGAATAAAAAGAATTTCATGAAAAATTTCAACGTAAATGTACGTATTAAAGTTTACACAAAGAATAATTTTGTTAATGACAATATGTACAGTTTTTCATAAAAATATAAAAAAAAGAAAAAAATAAATGGATATAAAAAACGTCTGTCATGAAAAAATATTCAAATACATCATTATCACAGACAATGCAATGAAAGACATGGTAGTTGAAGTCTCTGAGAATATCACATCTTCTGGTATCAAGAGACCAGGAACAGTTCTTTGTAGTGTTTTATTTCATGCATGCCGCAACACAGAGGGTTATGCCGCAAATATCTTTGCCAAAGCTTAATTAAGCACACAAAACCGGAAATTATGAAAACCTGGGGTCTTCCGGTGCCGACTGATTCCAGCAGCTGTAAGGTGACAATCCACCAAACAGGTCGTCCATGTTGACAGTGGGTAAAGATTTTGTCAGCTGGAAAACAGAAAATATAATCACGTTGTTTTTTATTCAATAAGTAGTATATACAAGTAAAAGCATAAACACAAATTGGACTTCCAAGGCTTGATCGATGTAAACCTTAAACTTATATGTGTAATTTCAAATATTTGTACATCAAATAAAAAACTATACTTTTTCGTCATCTTCGCTAGTTAACGGTTTCTGATACGCTACTCTCCTGATTATGAGGAGAGTAGCATATCAGAAACCCTTGGCTAGCGAAGATGCATAAACGTTACAAATAACTATTATGTAATATAAATTAGACTAACAGGTTGGCACGTTTGTCTTTTCTCGTTTACGCTGGTGCCAGTCTGAGGAGCTTGGTTGTGATTCTTGCTTTTGAGTTCAGCTTGTCTAGCTATCTGCTCAGCCAGAATCTAAAAAAAAATCACAAGCACAGATATTTATTTCTAGCAATTAGTAAGATTTTATCACTAATTATGCCAAAATCATACACTTTAAACTTAACAATTATAGTTACCTGATCAAATGTCTGGTTGTGACTTGGTACATCAGTATGCTCCTGATACATTGCATCATGATTTTGGTGACGCTTTGTGGCATGCGTCTGTTGACGCTCGTCTTTGTTGTAGCGTCTGTACAATGCGTCACGTCTTTGCTCCTGATTTACAGAGTGATGACTTTCTGTCGAGTATTGTTCAGCAATCACTGACTGTAAGACACAACACGTATTTATAGATACACAATATACACACATAACTGCATTGTTTTTTATATTCTTTATCAATCAAATTTACAATGCACATTATCAAACTATTTTTTTTTCCATCTACAGTTTTTAGAGCAACAGATTCATAACATTTGTTTATTTTTATATTTCCATGTCGGAAGAAATATTTTTTGAAACAAGAGGCCCATGGGCCACATCGCTCACCTGAGTAATTTGAGTGATGCAGTTCTTTACCAGACTCCCCCTCAGGCCTCTTGCTATAGTCCTATCATGCCCCACTACCACCTTCCCTTTTATGATTTTAAAACTTTAGAATCTAAACTACCCGAGGATGCTTCCACATAAGTTTCAGCTTTCCTGACCCAGTGGTTCTTGAGAAGAAGATTTTTAAAGATTTGTTCTATATATTTCTATGTAAAACTAGGAATTCCCTATTGTGGCCCCACCCTACCCCCAGGGGTCATGATTTCAACAATTTAATATCTACGCTACCCAAGGATACCATATAAGTTTCAGCTTTCCTGGCCCAGTAGTTCTTGAGAGGAAGAATTTTAAAGATTTGTTCTATATATTTCTATGTAAAAATTGGATTCCCTTTTGTGGCCTTGTCCAAACCCGGGGGTCATGATTTTAACAATTTAATATCTACACTACCCAAAGATGCTTCTACATAAGTTTCAGCTTTTCAGGCCCAATGGTTCTTGAGAAGAAGATTTTTAAAGATTTGTTCTATATATTTCTATGTAAAACTTGGATTCCGTATTGTGGCCCCGCCCTACCCCCGGGGGTCATGATTGTAACAATTTAATATCTACACTACCCAAGGATGCTTCCACATAAGTTTCAGCTTTCCTGGCCCAGTGGTTCTTGAGAAGAAGATTTTTAAAGATTTGTTCTATGTATATTTCTATGTAAAACTTGGATTCCCTATTAACAATTATTTAATATCTACACTACCCAAGGATGCTTCCACAAAAGTTTTAGCTTTCCTGGTCCAGTAGTTCTTGAGAAGAAGATTTTTAAAGATTTGTTCTATATATATTTCTATGTAAAACTTGGATTTCCTATTGTGGCCCCGCCCTACCCCTGGGGGTCATGATTTTAACAATTTAATATCAATTTTCTGTAATCACCAAAATATTTTGGCACGCATAGTTACAGATTTTGATTTTGAAATCATAATTTAATACAGGTGTGTGAGTGATTGTAAAATCTAAAAATAGTTTTTGAATTGTAACCTTGCTTGCCATAGAAACGGGATACAAACTTTCTCATTTTTGTAAATCATGAAAATCTGTACTTTTCATGAAAAACCATGTCTAGAAATGAACAGAGATATCTAAATTTGTGTTTATTGTTGTTATCCAATACTAGAGATTCAAACAACGATGTATACAATTCAATTTAAATTTAACACTCGTAAGTGGTCATGTTATGCATTGCAAAATGTCAAAAATATAGTATATTTTGCTCAGTTTTTACAGACTTAAAACAAAAAAATGCAGCCATCTACAAATTAAGCAATAATAAAACATGAAAGGTTGATATTTGGTTATATTTAAACAATTAAAAAATTGGTGGGCAAATGATATGTGTAAAAGAAATTCAAAGGTGAATATTCATTTTTTCTGCATTTTGAAGCATTTTCTGCTTCAAATTACTTCCCTTGGATTACTCTCTAGCGTTTGGAGGTACAATATGTAGGCACTTGTAGTGGTAAATAAATGGTTTGGTGAGAAAACTTATCAAAGCGGGTCCAGGGTGAGGATTGTCAGTGTGGAAGAAGCAAAAAAGGCCAAGATATAATGCATAAGAAGACAAGAGGTAATTATAAATATTACAAATTTTAAGTATGTATACTTTTTTCTCCATTTTATTGGCTTGCATGCATGTAACCCGAGATTCCTTTGCTATGAAAATTGTGACACCTGAAGGGACCTCTGCCCTGCCTCTCCCCGGTACATTTCACAATAAAAAAATTACATAAAAATACATGTTGATGGCAGACCATAAAGAAATCAGATAAGACACAATCTCCTTATATATTATAACCAGGTCCAGTACAATCGATTTAGCTTGATACATGTAGCTAGCTAGGCCTATGTTTCAAAGCAGCTTTTCACATTCTTTTCTTTTTATTAAAAAAAGACAAAAAAATCGCAAGTAAATGACTACACATGTATTGATATTTATACTAGGGAGGTTTTTAAAAACAATTCAAGCAGAAATGATTTGATATTTTTTTTTGGAGGGGGATGTCTCCTTCCGCAGGTTTGAACAAATTGTCCAAATGGGATAATTATAATAGCTGAGTGTGAAATATATCCTAAAAGAAATGCAAATTTTCAGTGCAAAAAGAGCAGGGGAATTATATTTTGAATTTTTTATTTTTTCCTTGCAATTCTACAATGCGTCAAGGGGGAATCCATTATCTAAACAGGAAAAATACAGAAAAATTGCCTGCGATTGTCCAAAAGTCAATGCTTTCCATATAAATTTATGGAACTAAAAAAAAATTATAGCCAAATATTTTGCACTACTAATTTCTTTTCCATGCATTTATAGCATTATCATCATGATTATTGATCACTTTGCATGAGATGATATACTTTTTCCAAAATACAATGTATATCAGTCTTTGTTTTAGATAATATTAATTCAGAACAATCAACATGTATATCTATTCTTCTAAGTCACTTGCGCGGTGCAGTGGTTAGAGCTTCTGCTCTAGAATTGCAAAGTAAGGAGTTTATCCTTACATCGCCGGTTCGAATCCCACTGTGGGATGTGGAGACCAGTCCGTCGAATGAGACTGTATAAACTGAGGTCCCATGTGGCAGTAGGCACTGGAACAAAAAAATCCCTCACTGTTCAATGGCCGTGAGTGATGAGTATAGGACAAAATTTGTAGCTCTCCACCAGCAAGTGGTTGTGTCTCCATATTTGTTATTGTATTAAAAATTCTTAAGACTGAGGGACATTATACAATCAATTTATTCTTCTTAACATTAAGTTAAAGTTTCCCTTTTCAGAAAAGAAAAAAAAATCCCAGGTGTATAAAAATATTTGAAGATAAATAATCCTGGTATAATCATGATTAAATATTTGTGTTTAACAGTAAATCCTTATACATTACAGCCATATTATATATTACACCTACTCCTATATATAAAACTATTTAAGGTAAATAGTTCTGTCAATATATAGTGCTTTACCTGTACATATTTTTGTAATGATAGTATGACTTTCCCTTTTGATAATGTTGACAGAAAGACGATTAATAAATAGATTGATGTTTATTATAAAATTAATTTTTATCTTGAATTTAGTGATTTTTAACAAAATTAGATTATACTCATTTTTTTTTTCAAAGGGTTTACCAAAGAGGATGAAAAGGAACAAGAACATATACACATGTAAATCATGGCTATAACAGAATTCAAATGAAACCTTGAAGTTAATTTTGGAAAAGACCATTTCAGGAATTGGGACAGCTGATAGATGCATTTCTCTTCAAGGTAACCAATTTCAAAAATCAAATCTAAATAGTTGGAAAAACACAGTACTACATGTAGTACATGTGTATGGTCTACTTATCAATCTTTTATTGATCAAAATGATTTTTTAAATCATTATAATATATGCATGTATCAAAGAAAACTTGTTTGACTTGAACAACTGTCATAATGATCATTAGAAAAACACCTTTCTTGATTTAGGGTTTGCTTAAATTACATTTATGTGTATATCCCCCCTTCGAAGAAGGGAGGGCATATCGCTTTGCTGTCGGTCCATTTAGTTTCCGTTCATTTTCTTCACAATTAACCGTTGCACATACTGAAATAAAATTTTGCATACAGGTATATCAGATGAATATCTAGGCCAAGTTCAGTTTTGGGAACGATCAAAACCTTTTTGAATGAGCTATGCGCCTTCGACTTAAAAAAATTCCAATTATTTGTAGTTTCCATTCATTTTCTTAGCAGAGGTTGCACATAATGAAATGAAATTTAGTACACAGATTTATCAGATAATTATGGTTTGGGTATGATCGCACTATTTTTCACAGAGTTATACCCCTTGAACTTATAAAAATTCCAATTATTTGCAGTTTCAATTCATTTTCTTTGCAGAGGTTGCAAATACTGAAATGAATTAAATTTAGCATACAGATTTATCAGATGAATACTTGCAGTAGGTCAAGTTCTATTTTGGATACGATCGCACAATTTTAGACAGAGTTATGCCCTTTTGGACTTAGAAAAGGTCCAATGGGGGGGGGGGGGGGGCATAAGTGTTTTACAAACATCTCTTGTTAATTCAGTTTGATATTTGTATTCATTTTAAGATATTGAAAATTGTATTTACTTCTGCAGGTAGAAAAAAATCATCTTAAATATATGAGTGGAGATGCAACATCAAGAAGTTTATAATGAAATCATGCAGTGACGTGCAAAGCTGAATATCACAAAATTTCCAAACAACGGTGAAGCCTGAAGTTGGAGATATGGCATCAAATTTTTTCTGCAGAAAGTACCAAGGTGTCCGTTACTAATAATTTAGTTTCCCAAATGAGGGGCACTGTAGCTGGCTTGTCAGAGTGATTTTCCTGAAGATGAAATTGGAAATGAGAATATTCATGTGTGTCTTCATATTGTAAATTTTCAAGATTCAACCATATTTCTAATAACTCAGTGAGGTCATTATTTAAGGAAGCTCTTATCAGCACACTAAAGAGCTCTACTTGAAGGAGTAGTTTTATGCAGTAAGAGTGATCTGCCCTTAGAAGTCAGATAGGAAAAAAATTGGTTGCTTAATTGCCATTTATTTCACAATTTGTAATAGATTAAAATATTTTTACTAGCATTATCTTAGGCAAAGAATAAGTAATTGAATTAATATTCACATTAATTTTCCCAATGGTCAACAACAGTGTTTTCTGTTCATGAATAATTCATAACTTTTTTCTAGTAGAAATAATGCAGGTACTTGTTGAAAATGAACTAATAGTCTCAATGTGCATACCTTTATATGATAATTTTTTCCTTAATTGAAAGTCTGCAGATCACTTCTTGATACACGTATTGTTTAGAGCTTCTTTAAATTTCACATGATATGGTTTGCTGATTAAAATACATTGTAGTTGATAATTTTGATAAAGGTTCAAGAAAAAAAAATTCATAAGCCAACAATACTTGTCTTCATTGTAATACTTTGTAGCCTTTTGTGCTATCATATGTAGCAAGTAACTATTTAATTTTTTTTGTGTTTTGGATTGCAGTGTTTGTTTCATGTTCATATATTATTAAAACATATAATTAAGAAAATATGATGCAGCCTTTTTAAATGCATAATCAGTAATAGAGGACTGTTATTTTTGTATTTTGCTTTAACTTGGGAGGGGGGGGGTTCTATATTTATGATCATAATCTCGCCTATTGATATGAATATATAATTCTTTTATGATTCAGCTGACAATTTCTCATTGATTTTACAAATTTTAAGCTTAAATACGTTGAATTTTATTTTAAAAAGAAAAAATATATCTTGTATATATGAAATGTTCATCAAAGCTGTTTTTTTGGCGAAATGCCAATTTTATGATTTTTCATTTTGTTATAGTCAACATTTGTTGTTATTTGCCCATTAATGTTTTTGAATATTTTCATTATTTGAGACAAGAACCTTCAGATGAAATAAGTGATACATTGTGAAAGTTCTGCAAAATTTTTATTTTTCTTCCCAAAATGTTGTTATTTTTCAGTTTTGACTAAATTTCGAAAAGTTGATATTTTGCCATTGTTTGACAAAGTATTACTAAATTTTTAAATAATTATTAAACATATTAAAGATATCCATTTAAAGTGTTGATGTTGTAGTTTTATGAAAAAAATTAGCAACATAGTTCTAATCCTTAATATGGGTTTAGCACAGATGGTATAAAAAGTGTGATTTTAGCAAGATTGCCATGAACAAATTATCCCTATATGTCAGAAATTATGTATCCCAGGTTACCATGGTAACAGAGGATGTCCAGAAAAAAATTATGTCATATATATAAGTTTTACCCTAGGAAGATGCTATATGCCAAGTTTGAAGAAAATCTGAGACTATGTGTGCCAGACCCTTTCAGAATTACTTTGGTGATTACAGAGAATTGTTCTTAATATTTACACTACCCAAGGATGCTTCCACATCAGTTTCAGCTTTCCTGGCCCAGTGGTTCTTAAGAAGAAGATTTTTTAGTGACCCCACTCTATTTTTGTCTTTTCTTGATTATCTCCCCTTGTGAGTGGACTAGGCCCTTCATTTTAACAATTTAAACTTCCCTTGACCCAAGGATGCTGTGTATCAAGTTTGGTTAAAATTGGCCCATTGGTTCTTGAGAAGAAATCGAAAATGTGAAAAGTTTACAGACGGACGGACAGACAGACAGACGGACGGAAGACGGACAAAATTTGATCAGAAAAGCTCACTTGAGCCTTCGGCTCAGGTGAGCTAAAAAGAAGCATTTAGCTAATTCTTGAAAATTAAGACTAAAATCCCTCTTACCCAATTACATGCCCGTTTCTCCGGATTCTCAGCCAATATAGAACCAGACCCTGGTCTTTTGTTATTTGTTGGTTTAACATCAGGGCCTGTGATCATGACTGACTTTGAAATGGGCGCAGTGAATATGGCAGGTCTAGACGTAACATTAATTACAGATTCCATTGATGCAGGTCCTTGTAAGGACTTTGATGACTTGGTAGTTGGGTCCCAGCCTTTTGGAGCAAAGCTTGGGACATATCTTTGCGATTCAACATTTGTTGCCAGATGCTTATTCTACATAAAAAAATAAATAATAAATTATTTACTTATTTATTCAATTTCATGATATTCTTACTAATCATCTAAAAAAATATCTTAATATTTCTTCTCCTTTAACATGTTTAACAACAAAAGATTTTTATGGTAAACCATTCATGATAGAATAACTTTCATGAGTTGAAAAAAAAACACACGCAAGGCATTTAATATAAACAAATGAAATTTAAATCTTAATCTTAATAAATTTTTGAACATTTAATCTTACATGTCATTGTATACTTCAAGCCATCAATTAAAAGTACTCACCATCTGAGTGTGTGAGGCCGCCTGGTGTCTCTCACTCCTCTGATTTGTCACATTTGCCCGGTGTCTTTCACTCATTTGATTGGTCACATTTGCCTGGTGTCTCTCACTCATCTGATTGGTCACATATGCCTGGTGTCTTTCAATCATTTGATTGGTCACATTTGCCTGGTGTCTCTCACTCATTTGATTGGTCACATTTGCCTGGTGTCTTTCACTCATTTGATTGGTCACATTTGCCTGGTGTCTTTCACTCATTTGATTGGTCACATTTGCCTGGTGTCTTTCACTCATTTGATTGGTCACATTTGCCTGGTGTCTCTCACTCATTTGATTGGTCACATTTGCCTGGTGTCTTTCACTCATTTGATTAGTCACATTTGCCTGGTGTCTTTCTCTCATTTGATTGGTCACATTTGCCTGGTGTCTCTCACTCATTTGATTGGTCACATTTGCCTGGTGTCTTTCACTCATTTGATTAGTCACATTTACCTGGTGTCTTTCTCTCATCTGATTGGTCACATTCAATGCGGACTTTTTAGCCTCTGATACAGTGTCAATCTTTGAGGACTGTTTGTCAGCTGACACAGCCGTCCTGAACTCTCTAGCTTGTGAGTTAGTTGTCTTGGATTCTTCGTCAAAAAAGTCGTTTGTTGGTGCGTCCCATGCTGGTAAGACCCTCCTTGCCGACTCTCGCTCTGGTTGAGAATCCGCCGGTTTTTCCTCCTGAGCTGGTGACCTAGTTCTGGGTGATGAGGGAGGACTGTCCAGATAACTGGTTAACCCCAGGTCCTCCAGTGTGGGAGTGGGGTGATACATTAGTGTTAGGTAATCTGGAGGGGCGTACCTGTTGATCGGCTTCACCTGAGGCTGAAATTAATTACAGTATAATAAAATCGTCAAACTCTTTGATAACAAAAGAGAAAATTCCATATGAATAAGAGATTTCCATAAATTAATAAATTTTCATGACTTTTGTAAATTAATTTACCTCTCTACGCACCACTCTCTGCTGAGGCAGCTGTGCATGTTGAGGTTTGTGAGAAGCAGCTGTGCTCATAGTATTTGGATGAGTAGGATGCACTCTCTGCTGAGATTGCTGTGCATGTTGAGGTTTGTGAGAAGCAACTGTGCTCATAGACTCAGTCCTTGTATGTGGATGAGTAGGATGCACTCTATGTTGCTGGGGAATGATGTTCTCATTCACATAATTAGGTCTTGTCTGAGTTTGGTACCCATGTGGGCGAGTAGGTTGCGCATGTTGCGGCTGATATGTGTTGCTGCTAGGTACCACGCCTGTCCTATAATGAGTTTGTTGCTCATGAGGACGATGGACCGGAGCATATTGCGGTCGGTAGGTGGCAGCAGTATTCACAGATGCAGATCTATCATTGTAGCTGTTTTCATGAGGATAATTTTGTCTGAATTGCTGTGGTGCCTGCCTTTCTCTCTGCTGAGACTGATGCTAAAATAAATACAACAGTATTACAGTAAATTTGTTAACAACAAAAATATTTCATATAACATGCACGATTTTATTTGAGGTATAAGAATGAAGAACCCACAAAAATGTTTCTAACTGACCCACTGTTGTCCCACTTTGTCGGATCTTTGAGTGGGCGTTGTGGTCAGGTTAGCTGTGTGGCTCGCCTGCTGAACAGGACGCTTCTTAGGCGGCCCAGCCTGTAAAGGGATAAAAGAGTTTTTATTAATGATGTTTATTTGCCGTAATCTTTGGGAAAATAAATGAAAATTCCATAAAGTCTCTTCTCTGTTTGCTATTTTTAAAAGATAGCAATATATGCTACAATATATATATGCTACTTTAATTACATGTTTAATTTATACATAATTTATGCAATCTAATCAACGTCTCTCCATTCGTATAATATTTACGCTGGCAAAATAAACTTACTTTTCAGATTTACAATACATGTAATACCGGGAGGTATGTACATATATAAAAGAAAACTGAGACCTCCTGAGTCTGCCCGGAAGTAGAGGACGGGGTCAAAATGTCCAGTCCCAACCTCTTGTAAAAACTCGAGGCATCTTCCGGGGCAGGGCAGGAAACATCCACTCTCTTCTGAAAAAATAGATTTAAAAGATCAAGAATTGTGCATTAGTGTTTAAATGTAAGTATGTGTATTTATATTATCAAGATATTTGTATACATGTATGTGCATACCCGGTTTTTAATTACTTTATTAAACATGTTCACACATCTTTAATATTGTAATGCAATACAGAAAAAAGTTATACATCCTTACTCTTCGTGCAAATATTTGATTTTTTTTTCATATTTAATTTCAAACTTAGGAGACCTTTTTTTCCTTTTGAAATTTAACAATAAACTACAACACAAGCGAGGATTTAGATTGGGGGGGGGGGGGGGTGGGGTGGATATGGACCCCTTCCTCGAAATTTGTGGAATTATTAAATATACATAATGAATAATTACAAATCGACCCTGGAATCCCCCTTCCCTAGAAAACGTAGACCACTGTTAAGAAATTGGAAAAAGTCATACACGTAAAAGTGTTCAGACCCCCCCCCCTTTCCCAACTCACACACATCACTTTCATTAATCAGATTTTTACGCTTGGTAAAGTAGTTAATGGTTTTTCAGTGATTTGTAAGTAACTTAAAATTATTTATAGATTTTTTATTTTAACCTAGCCCCCAGCCCCTTTCCGGAAAAAAAATTTGATCAATCTGCCTTTGCAACACAACGTCACTCAGGCAACGGTTACCATGACGTCGTCATTGACAAAACCAAACATTGCAACTTAGTGTATGCAAAATACCTCTCCAAAAGAAAATCTCTAGCTATAACACAGTATAGCTTAGCTGTTGACTAAATTCAAATAATAGGATAAATCTCTATTGTCAAAATATTTGCAAATTTGCGAGATTTTTAACCCTGGAATTTGAATATCAGTTTATTTCGCGGAATTTCTTGATGTAAACATAACATGTCGATTAGATAAAAACAATGGAATGAACCAAAAAAATTACAAATTTCATTTAAACTTTGGCTATCTTCCCTTATTAAAGTTATAAAGTTATTTTCCATTGATTTTTAAGGAGGCAAATGGGAGAGGAGAGTGTTTAAAAGCCTAGGGAAATACGTTGGATCTCTAGCTTTTACAGTAAATCGCTTGTTTAGCTATTCTTACAAAGTAACCCACAAAAATAACATGACAAATATTGGCATTACCCTCTTAAGATCGCTTTTATTCATCTTTAAGACTTGACTTGCTCTTTTGACAGTAGAAATTTCGTAAAATATTCGCTTGACTGAAAACACGTCTTGTCTCTTTGACTTGTGATTCAGAACTGAGCAGTAACTACAACAGACAACGTCAGGCCAAGCAACTGCAACGTCATAAACGATGAAGGGCCAATGAAACAAGGTGGTCTATCAGAACCCTATCCCCATCCCCCAAACCCCCCCCCCCCCCAACCCTTTACCACCAAAGAGAGTTACGACAAACCACAGACCGATATGCTTATTGATCAAGTTCTGCATTTTATATTCTTCGATTCAAATAAACTTTCACCATTCTTGGATCACTGTAACTTACCTCCTCTTAGACCTCTACCTTACAGGTCAATAGTTAATAAAATAAATTCATACAACACCCATTTTCAAACGTTTTCTAAATATTATCATTGTTTACATTGTGGACAAAAATGTCGACTGCTCATTAAAAGGGGGGTCACTCTAAATAAAATAATAAAAATACGTAAGAGTTATCTTTCTTACTACGTGCATGTATGCGAACTACATGTAGCTGCAATAATGTAGCACATCCTCCCCCCTCCCCCATCTCCAAAATAAAAAAAAATAGATTGAAAAAAATGGAGAAAGCTACATCATGTGGCTTGATTTATTTGAGTGGAACAGAATAACAGAACACAGTCACATATCATTGTATCAAAGGTAAATGGGGGCATTTTGGTAACAAACTTTAATTCTTTGAATCTTTCAAAAAAGTTCTTTTATGTTATGTTCTACTAAAAAGGGTCTTTATTTAGAATAATAAATTTATTCTATTTTATAATAAACTTCTACAAGTTTTGGTTCGAATCCCACAGTGGGACGCGTAGACTGTCTTTCGGATGAAACCGTATAAACTGAGGTCACAGTAGGCCCCTGGATTCGTATGCATTTCTAAGAATGTTCTTACAATGTAAGTATATGCTTAAAGACTTCTTATGCATACGAACCTGGTGCTCTTTTCTACCATTTTTTTCTACGACTGGAAAGTAATTTTTTGTCATTATTATTCTATGGGGGTCATTATTCTTCTTTACACCCCCTTAAGTGGATCCAATTTTATAGCCTTGAATTTTACATTAATATGAAGTAAAACATTTTTAACGAATGATCGAGTAAAAAAGTAAAGTCGGTAGTGGGTATGATAGAACGATAGTCGAGTACTCGAATATTCGTTGACAGTCCTAAATAAAAGTAGCTGCAGAACTGTAGCTCTCCGAAAAAAATATTTCACAGATCTATCAATATATTTTTCGGAGAGCTACAGTTCTGTGGCTAAATTAAAAAGTACGCCTCTAAGTCTATCCCCTGTGTTTTGTCTACAGCTTCCATAAAAAGTGAACTCAGAAATTGTCATTTCTTCTCACTGGAAATTCACTGATTTTTTTTATTTAAAAATATTCCGATTCCGACCTCGTTTGCATCTACGCTAACATGATTTCCATTTCATCAAATGGATGAAACTTCACACTTGGACAAAAATAAAATGTTTTTACATATGAAAATGTGTTGATCTATAATCTTTAGTTAGTCCTCCTCGATACCTGATCCCACCCCTGGGTTAATGAAATAATTAACGTTTCCATGCCGGTTACATGATTTCAAAGCACTTAGGAATAAAACTGTTCACTATTTGTGATAATGCCAAATCGTACGTGACATTATGGAAGGTGTGTTCGATAGTCTGTTGACCCATATCAGGTCATACGGGGCATTCACCTATATGTAATATACCAACAAAACACTTGACACGTTCTTAATCTTGTTTTCATCGAAATACATCGACATGATCTATCACTAACATTTAACATGAAAACAAGTGATAGGAATGACTTGTTACAGTACTCCCTCTTACGGAAGCCCGTTGAAAATATTTTCCCAAAAATGAATTTTGATTTGCTAAAAAATAACTTGAAAATTGGCTAGATTCGGCAGTTCGTACAAAATGGTACATTTTTAAACACGTTTTGCTAAAAATTTTCTATCTCTGGGTCTTGTCTCCATAATTTTAAAACGTTATTTATGTGCATTTTAATTCAAAGAAACAAACATACATTTGTAAAAAAAAAAAAAAAAAAAAAAAAAAGAGAGAGAGAGAAGACCCAGAGACCATAAAAAATTAACTTTTTCCAAAAAAAATCCATCTATGTAAATGTGGTGCCACTTGCTCCATTTAAAATCCACCAGATATGTGTAGCTGTGATAGCTCAGTTCTCAGTGCACAAGTGAGATGTTTTGGTTCGAGTCTCGCATGGGGCGTTATTATGTTCCCCAAACGAAGTTTGGGAACATATTGTTTTTACTTTTTCTGAATTTTTTCTTTGTTCTCCGGTAATTTTTTGTCCGCGAGTGTTCTCGTAAACTACTCATCCGATCTAGGTGAAACCTTTTTAGGGTCACTAGGTATGTTATGTAGATGTGCGGAACGAAGGTCATTTTGCGCGCACGTGCGTGCAGGTGCGCGCACGTGTAACACGTGAAATGATCAATATAATAGATTTAGCCGTAACTTTTTAAATATTGGATGAAATGCTTTGAAACTCATAATATAAGGATATAATAGTAGTATAGACATGATGACATGGTCAAAATAGCAAGATCTCACGCGCATGCAGGTGCCCTTCGCTGCGATTGGCTGAAACTTAAAGTCTAAATATCTATTTTGTTTTCTGACAAAATCCTTTGAAATTTTGAACATAGTCTTACGTTATGAAGATCTACAGCATGATATATAAGAATAATCATGAACGCACGCACATGCACGTGTGCTGCAATCTGATTGGCTAAAACTTTAAATGCCTACAACTTTCTTGGTTCTCAATAATACAGGGTGAAATTTCAAATATGAATAGATATAATGATTGCCTACATTATACTACTATCAAAAGTAAATACATGGACGTGCATGCACATGCGACCGCACACAATGTATTAAAAGACAGCATACTTGAGTGTTTGATGTTCATGCAGAATTAAGAACTTCTAAATGTCAAGACATGTAACATACTGAAGCATGCAGATCTTTTTACCCTTGACCTTGAAACTTAGGTCAAGGTCACTGGTAACCTGAATAAAATGTTGATATTAACTATTTACCAAAATCACCTTGACCTATGAACTTGAAATCGACCTTAACCTTTGTCCTTGACCCAAGGGTAAAAAGAAACATGAAGTACATGTACATGTATCTAGAAACACCTTTCAGAGTTTATTTCGGTTGACAGGTTAGAAGTTAAAGAGGTGGTGGTTTTTAATGACCTTGACCTTTCATCCAAATGTCACAATCAATCTTAAGTTCTTGGAATAAGATACAAGATTCAACTCCAACGTTAAATAGGTTAAGAATAAAAATACCCCCCCCCCCCCCCACACACACACAAACAAATCAAATTAATGGCAACGTAGAGAATCACTGTTAAACTCAAATAACACCTCGGACCCACATAAAATTTCAGGAAAACTGCAGAAAAGAGCTCGAGGAAAGTGTATTAAAATATTTCATTTGAGTTTCCAAAGTATATAGAAATTATTAATTTATACAGAAAAAATTACAAATCCTGTCGTGTTTAAAATTAAAGTGCAGATGACCAAAGTTGGCATATAAGCCTTTTATAGCCTATTTATTCAGATGTCGTTAATAGCATTCGATTCTACTGATTTGAAATAATATTTTAATACCAAGCATCCTTTGTTTAATTTACCTTTGAAATTTATTTGAATTTTTTTTAGAATTACGCAATCCCCAGAAATAGCGATTTTAGGTATATTAAAAAATCAATATACATGTACGCTCCTTCGTAAAATAATCAGATATTTGCATTCATGAAAAAAATATTAATAAGAAGGTGTTAAACAATATAGGTCACATTAGCTGACACGAATGTCTTTTTAAACATCTCTTGTAAAACCCAGAGAGTAGCCCCCTATGCATTGGAAAAAATGAATAGTTCCGGTCAAAAAACCTTTATATATTTATTTACAAAGTATATAAAATTTACCAGGCACAGGTATCAGAGTTGTCAAAATGGCCTGAGAGAAAATATTAAAAAAATTCTGAACAGAAAGGAAAATCCCTTTTCCATGTATGGAACTACTATTGAATAAGTTCATTTTGATTGGTTATGTATTGGTGTGATACCCTTAGTCGACTTTAACCCTGCCTTGTCGTCGGAATAAAACCAACTTTGAGCCCGAGGTTTAAATAAGTAGAGAAATAAAATGTGAATCGATATATTAAAAATTGGTTATGTATTGGTGTGATACCCTTAGTCGACTTTAACCCTGCCTTGTCGTCGGAATAAAACCAACTTTGAGCCCGAGGTTTAAATAAGTAGAGAAATAAAATGTGAATCGATATATTAAAAATATGACATATGCTTGAGAAATGGTAAATTTATGTATGTATTCTTTTCTTTGATTCGCGGGAGAGAAAGATATGTTAATCGCTTAATCAACATGCCATAATCATCTTGCATATGCATGTACATGTACGTGTGCGCGCATGCAAAACGTTAAACAATATATCGTTGATAGTTGATATCATTGTAACTTTTATATTCTTAAATGAAATCTTGGGATACTTAGCATATTTATAAAAGGTCTTAGAGGAATAAGGCACGATAAGGGACATGGGGAGCGTTTGGGGAACATCTGTAACGGTCCCCGTTACAATTAGCACTAGTTTTTTTATGCAAACAATCAATTCTTTTATCAGTTTCATATTATTTTCTGATTTTATTTTTTAATTTTGAATAAGATGAATTTTGGTTAGTTGCTCCGAGAACGAAAAAAATCCCATTATTCTTAAATTTTGATGTACATGTACACTTCTCATCTAGTATGCCTTTTATCTTATAAGTGTTTATTTTTTTGTGGAGCATTAATATGTTATTGTAACTCCTAACAAAAACGGTCATAAATGTTACAATCTGACAAGGTATTTCAAACTAAGTAAAAAAAAT